TTTATCCAGTCTCCAGTTGATGGGCATTTGGGCTGTTTCCAAGTTTTAGCTATTACAAACTGCGCTGCTATGAACATGGGTGCACATATATCACTGTGGTATGATTCTTTTAATTCTTTGGGGAAGGTCCATTATACCACCAGAAAAGATTAAGCAACACTGTTTATTCTTCTTTGTGCATTATCGGCTCTTGATTTGCGGAAGTACAATGTCCCTGTCCTGATGATGGTAAAGTTTGTTGTTCAGGGTTTGGAATGAGTTTAGGAAAGATTAAACTGGTTACAATGAGGCTGAGGGACCTGACAAGAGTGTATTACACTCTACATCTGAAAGGGAAAAGGTCTGCCTGAATTAGCTCAGTGGTGCTGGAAGCAGATGGGAAAAGACAATTTGGAGAAAAGAGAAGTATGCAGAGGACTCTTGGTCTGTTGAGTGAATTAAGGTAGAGGAGAGGTAATGATTGCTGGCAGCATTGTTGACAAACTGCTGGCCCATGTTTGCCTGGTCCTATGAAGCCTCAAAATCAAAATCTGAGGCACCAAAATTCACCAATCCTGCACTGTTGGGTGAAAAACTCTGAGCTTCGGCTACCCATTCATAATGTCACTTGGCCTGTCTACAGCAGGGCATTGTACAGCTCAGACAAAACACTGAGAATAAAATAGTGTGCAAATATTGTGTAACAGTACCAATGGCTCTTCCACTTCATCACCACTAGGGAGATGTGTTAAAGAGTGACAGAGCGGAAAGGTCATGTATTTGGGCCCTTATGCTACTTTGCTGTTTAGCAGCACTGTAAATTCAGCTCATTCACTCAGCCTCTCTAATCTCTGTGTTGTCAGCTGTGAACAGGAATAAAGAGGTCACTCTTCACTCTTACAAAAATTTAGTGATACATATGTGAAATGACTTCCTTCTGTACCTTGATTTTCCTCCATAGGCATCCCCAAACAATCTGTACAGAAAAGGGTTTTGCCAACAAAACAAACTGGACTAAAGCAAGCATTAATTAAACTTTCTATTTTTAAATTAAAACTATCTCTTTGTAAGAGCAATGAATATGTATCAACAGATAGATATTTATATAGTAGGTAGGCCTGTGGCATGAATTCTTATATCAATTTTGGTTGACATTCAAAATACTGGCCCTCTCTCTAAGGTTGACTCAATTTAAAATAAAATTCCTGTACTTCATTTAAATACAGAATATAACTTTTTATTGAACTAATGTACAAAGAAAACATTTAAAATATTAGAGTAGCTTATACATGTAGGGTATTTTCAAAGCATAAGATAAAATCAAGAGTTTTTTCCATCTTCTCTTCATAAAATTATTTCTAATTTTATCAGTAGTGTTTTAGTATATGTACTGCTGAAGCGAGCACTATCAGTAGTGTTTTAAAACCTTCTGGTGACCAATGGGCATAATAGTATCTTTCACAGGATCATTAGGAGAAGTGAGCACAAGAAAGTACAGGCACAGGGCTTAAGCTTACCAGACACCTGACTACCTTTAGGTCTCAAATTCTTCATCCCTTCACTATCAAAAATCTTTCCTGAGGGCCAGGGATTTAGCTCAGTGGTTCCAGTGCCTGCCTTACAAGCACAAGGTCCCGAGTTCCATCCCTGGTATCAAAAGAAAAAATCTTTCCTGGTATTCTCAGTGTTCCAAGTTTTATGATTATTTGAGATTAAAGTCTTTTCATTATCCTCCAGTTTCCTTCCCTCAAGAAAGACTCTTCCTTCCTTTTTCATCTACCATGAGGAAAATGTCCAAGGGAAAAGAAAAATAGGTCAGCATTCAGGAGTCTTATGTCTCATTGTATTGCTCTTTGTTATCATCAGATATTATTTACAATCTTTTCTCTTGTTCTCTTTTCTCACAAGAAAGTGTAATCTGCTTCTTTTTCTTTCTTTCTTTCTTTTTTTTTTTTTTGATTCCGGGGATCAAACGTGGGTCCTTGTGCTTGCGCAGCAGGCAGTGAAACCCCTGAGCTAAATCCCCGGCCCTAATCTGCTTCTTTAGCTGGCAAGATTAAGGTCTTTTTCACCTTTCCTCTTTCAAGATGTATTACTTCAGTGTAATTTTTCTCTAGGGAACTGTGGTCTAGTACATCCACTCCTCTTCATCTCTGGGGTTAAGGAACAGCCTTAATTTCCCAAATATTTATTACCTTTCCAGTTAGTCATTTAGCAGACTTTCCTGATGGGTTTCTTTGAAAAACAGGCTCAAACACTGAGATTAAAGTTACCGCCCCCCCCAAAATAAAAAAGCTTGTGAGAGAAAAACAAACAAACAAAAAGGAAACAAATTAGGCTTATTACATTCTTTCAATACTTCATCATGAAAAGTGCAATCACCTAATGGCAAGTGGCACTGTGAAAGAAACTACAGAGAAAAGAAAACACACAGAGGTGTGACTTTTGCCCTTTAAAATATTAAATTAAGAAATAGGAATTGAGACAGCCAATTATACTATGGAGTCTTAATCACAGTATAAAATCAAGCATAATGTAAATGTGTATAATGCTTTTACATTTGCATTTTTCTGTCTAGAAAATTATCTTTGATGTTCATCTCCCTGGTAAGAAAAAGAATTGTCAGCAACTTCCTACTTACCGTCATCCTTGTCTGGGAGGATTGTAACCTGAGCCCCTGGGAACTCGGAGCCCAGTCTCCCACCCATGGGCATGCTCAGAAGCACATGGAACATTTCCTCCTCTTCATACAAGGAGTCGTCAATCACAACTATTCTGCACATTCTCTCCCGCTCATCTTTGTCAAAGCGGACAACGCTGGTGTGGTCCTCAGGCCTAGATATGTAATCAGAGTAAGACAGCACTGAAGTCGGCACCGTTCCTGTTGCTGTTCCTGGAGCAGAGAGAATCCAAAAGGGTTTCATGCAGAGCATGTTACATGAGTATTTCATATACAGCATTCTAATGGTCATCTGTATATAGAAACAGCCTGGAATTAACTGCAGCCACATACTGTTATACAGTTCTAGCATCAGTGATGAAAATCAAACTTCTACTGTTTTCTCAAGTTTTTCCTGCCAGTGGACTTCTAGATGAACACAGTATCACAAAATAATAGCTCCTACTATTCAAATGCTTAAGATAGGTTAAGTGCCAAGCATGTTACACATTAATAATTAATAATTTTCTCATTAATAGTCTTGACTGCTCTTTTGGGTTTTACACATTTGTTAACTGAGCATTTCATTAGTTGAGTCACTTGCTCTGGGATCCAGGGCCAAGGCTGATACTGAAATTTGCTTTTAATCTTATTCTAGGCAGGCTTTCAAAAAAAAAACCCCACCACATATATATATTTAAATATATATTTGTAAATTTAAATATATATTTGTAAATTTAAATATATATGTAAATTTAAAGTTGGAGATTTAAATCAATACTATATGTGATTTTGTCTTTTGCATATTTGGAAAATTTATTGGTTTGCTAGAAATGGTATTTAGTAAATTAATGAACATTATATAATATTAATTTTAGCTTTCTATTACAAAAATCACCTTACATAGGATGGTTACCCATGAGCAAAACAAATAGTTTAAAAGTGGTTCAAATGGGTTTCAAATTTATTTTCAATTAGTTTCTTTTCCTTGAATATATATTACTTTGACTTTTTAAACAAACAACAACCCCCTAATACAACAGCTTCTGTTCTTTATAATCTGAAAAGCCTTGAGTACTGTAGTAATGACCAATGGAGTCAGAGATATTTGCAGTATGTAGTAGTATATTCTTTCCAGGCACTCTCAGAGGAGTCCTCAAATGTACAGTACTGAAGCAAATGTCTAAATAAATGCTTTTTTGCTCTTAGGAAAGGCCTCATAATAAAGTACACCTCTCATTGCAAAATGCCACAGACTAACATATTAAAAAGGCTTATTTATATCCTTTGGATGCTGTTTTAGTTTTATTGTTTTGTTTTTGTACAAATTAAAGTACCTTGCTGTGTAGAACAGATCACCATGAGTTCCTGGCTGACATCTCCACTCCTTCTGATGGGAATGAACAGTTCCCCCACATCTTCTTCAATGGTGTATTCAGACTGGGGAATGAATACAGTTGATTCTAAGGAGAAAACACAATCACAAGTGCAATGATTTCCACCTTAGCTTCTTAGCTCTGAAACAATTCTATGCAAATTAAAATTTCTCTAGTGATGGATTTTTTCTTCCTGCATATTCTTTCAGAATAACACTACAAGGGGAAGGAGGGAGAAGGGAAAAGAAATAAGTAGAAAGGGTGCAGACATTGAGAGAGTGAATTTTTAAATCTAGACGCAAAATTCAAGATGGCTTTTATTGCCCGTTGTTGCTTTTTTTCCCCAAATGATAAATGCTGCTAACACAGTTAATATATATTATTTAATGTTTTTAAAATAGAAGTTTGTTTAGAATGCATACATTTATTCATCAGCGGGAAGGAACATTCTAGCAAGATAACGATCATATGTACACAAATTATATTTATATAATAAGTCAGTGATCGATTATTAACATAGTCAAAAAATTCAGAAATAAAAATCAAGATAAGAGTATGTAAAGGTGCAAATTCCCAATGATGAATGTCATTATATTGTATTCCTAAAATGTACCAATAAAGTTAATAATATAAAAAAGTTCAACAAATAATAAAAATAGCATAATTAAATTTTGAAAAATATAGCACTATGTAAAACTATAACAGTTTTTTAGTTCAACAGTTGGACATGGAGAATCTGAAATAGATACTCCCATATTTGATTGGGAGTCTGTTTCCCTGAGTCTCACATCCACACAGAAAACCCTTCACGATAATTTTTAAAACAGTAAACCTCACTTCTTTTGGTTATTATAAACAATGTTGGAATTAGCAGCAGATACAGCCCTCAAAGGGGCACACTCTTCCCTGCTCTATGCCTTGGCAGCTAAGCTAAGGGGAAAAGCATCGAATGTGTCCCTTTCCCTGTGGCTTCAAAGAGAACAGAGATAGGGACTTGGAGAGCAGGATCCAAGAGAGTCTGGCATTTTTCCTCAGCTCCCCTCTGGTTTCCAGAGCTGGCTTCAACTCCCTCCTCTACTCCACCTACAGCCATTGAGTCCCCTCTCAGGGCCCCTCAGGCCTTGAGGTTGTTAGGCAGGGACCCTCATAGCCTTGGGGTGCTTTACTATGCCTGGAGGTCTCTTGATCCTCACCCTCAACTTTGTAAAAGTCGTGATATTAAATTCTTCTAAGTTACACAAGAGAAGTTAGGGAGATAAGCAAGAATGAGTAAAGGAGCCTGAGAAGAACTCCCAATAATGGGGACAACAAAGAGAGTACAGGTGTGAGAAGCTGAGTACAAAATATGTGCATGGAGAAAGAGGGACCGTATTTCAAAGACTCCTGGCAAGTTTAGTAAGTTGAGAACTGACCTCACTAGATCTAGCAAAGTGAAGGTTCAGGAAAGTGTTTATCTTCACAAGAACTGTTTTGGTGGAATACAGGGGACAGACAAAGGGCTAAGTTTAAGGGAGAACAGGAGAGGAACTGAAGACTACATGCACGAGCACTTCTCTCAGGCAGTTTTGCTTTAAATACGATCAAAGTGGCATTTACCGAAATATCTTTGCTGATTTCTTATTACGGTCAGTTGTAGTAAGGCCACGAATTGCACCTACAAGTATGAAGTAAGATCTTACCAAATATAAATTTTCAACATAGAAATTATCCTGACTGTAGTATAAAAAAATACACCAAGTGCCATGGAACATTCAAATCAAATATTTGATGAATTTCTATTCATTAATTTGGGCAATTAGCCCAGGTGTTACCCAGGTTTGGGCAGCCTTTAGGTCATGAACTGCATGACATTACTGGAAGTATCAAATACTGTGGAAAGTTTGAGGTCTTTCTTAGGGTTTGTCATGGGCTGAATGTTTGTATCTTTTCAAATTCATATGTTGAAGCCCTAACCTGCAATGTGAAGGTACAGGAGACTTAGGGAGTGAGGTTTCAGTGAGGCCTTGAGGGTGGGGTCCCCTGGGATAGGACTGGAGTCCTTATAAGAATGATACCAGAAAGCAAGGATTGCTGAGTGATACAGTGATTGTCCCTAGTCAGAAAGAGGCCCCTTACCAACAACTAAAGATACCAACATCTTGATCTTGGAGTCTCCAGCCTCGAGAAGTGTGAGAAATGAGTGTCTGTTGTTAAAGCTACTCCATCTTTAATATTTTCTTATGGCAGGTGGAGCTCAGCAGGACAGGAATGAATCATAAACAGCACTCATTCTATACTTCTAATCTATACTGGCCAATTTTATTTTCAAATAGGTCATCTAGGACAGTTTCATATATAGGATTTTAAATACCTAAACTCCTTTAAGATTTAATTCCTCAATACCCGAGCTTTGGTTCCTTTTCTACCCCATGTCTCGATCAGATTTGGTTAAACAAGCTTGTACTTTTTGTCAGTGCCAGTAGGTTGGAATTATGAATAATGAAAAACTTAGTGTCCTGACCATGCCCTCTCCTCTGAAATTCACTCCTACAATTGATCTGACAGAGGGTAAATAGGCTCAGGATCAAGTTCAGGCTCTCTGTTGACCTTACTTCTAACCAAAATGTGCGATCTGTGGGGGAAGCTAGAAAAGGGTATCAAAAAGACAAAGACTTCATTGGTAGCCTTTCCAGCTAACATTATTTTTCAGTTTTACTTTATGTATAAAATAGATGTGCATGTTGGCTGCTTCAAGTAAGCATAGCTCATTAAGTGTAAAATTTCTAAAAGCATCATTCTTGCATTAGCTTTAAAGATTATGAGCTAATACACATGGAGTTCTTACTATTTGCTGAGCCCTATTCTGAACACATTACACATACTGGCTAGTTTTCATTCGTCTCTTTATTTCTGGGGGTACTAGGGGTCAAATCCAGGGGCACTCTAATAGTGTGCTACATCTCCAGCCCTTTTTATTTTTTATTTTGAGACAAATTCTTGCTAAACTGTCCAGGCAGGCCTTGAACTTGTGATCCTCATGCTCAGCTCCCCAGTAGCTGGGATTACAGATGTAGCACTCTGCCCAGCTCTGTCTCATTGTACAGAAGCTCTGTCTCATTGTACAGAAGGCACAGAGATTCAGTACCCCACTGAAGACTAAGGGTGTTAGTAGGTGCTGATGCTGGGTTTGAACCTAGAAAGTCCATTTCAGAGCCCCTAATCATAGCCATTCTGCTCTACTGCCTAGAAAGAACACTCTGTATCACAGGGAGCATCACTCCAACCACAGGAAAACAAAGGCTAAGCTGAGATTCTGAAAAAGACATTTAATATCCTGCTAAAGCAGAGAGAGAGCAGGGGCAGTCTAGGCATGTAAAAGGAAGCCAGAAACAAATATTTGTAGAACTCTTTAAATATTTCTTCAATATTTTTATAAAAAGTTTTATGTGTATAAAATTATCTGTATACAGAATTAAAGTTATTATGTAAAAGTATATAACATATATAATATACATATAGTATATATCCACCAAAAACTGCATACATCAGGAAAACAAAATCTTGTATAAATATTTTAATATTAAATGTATTGAGAGATCATTAGATTAATGCAAGTTACCTTTGGCCTCTGAAATTACAAGAGGTGCTCAAAGTGATGGGTCATTAGCTTTCAGATATTTATTAATACAGTGAACTGCTGAAGTGTTTCTACATTTTTTTGGCAGACTCTCTTCTTTCTCTCTCTCTCTCTCATATATTGATATATTATATATTGATGCATTATATATGATACATTATATATAATATATTATTTATCACATATATAACATTTATATCATAAAAGCGTATATGTTGCATCCCATTCAAACATTAAATTGAAATTGTAGCAGTCTCTGGGAAGGAAGGTATTCACTAAGGGAAAAAGTAGGGGGTAAATAATAGAAATATACTCATTAAATACATAGCAATCAGTAGAAAAATGACTGTAGTTTCACACTGTCATATGTTAGCAATAATTATCTCTGTGGTAGGATTACAAATGACTTTTTATAAAGTTAATGTTTTATTTTTTATAGTTTTAGGTTTATAGAAAAATGAGTAGAAAATACATAGAGTTCCCACATTTCTCTACACTCTTTCCCTTTTCCAAGTTAGTAACACCTTGTGTTTGATTTTTGACCATAAGCATGTGTCACTTTGATACTTTCAGACTGGTACCCCCACCCTTCATTTGGAAATACAAAGCTGAATAAAACGAATGTATTCATTATTAGTCAATGTGACTATACTGCAATGAGCACTTTGATTTCTATCTGCAATTTTTACTTTTTAGGTCTTGACTGTGCTGCAATTTAGGCAACAAAATAAATGACTTCTGTCCTCAGAAATAAAAGAGTTGTAGCTATGTCTGAAAGAGGAGCTCATGCTTTCTCTGCTCAATTATATTGTACAGATTTTTTTAAAAAACCAATCTACTAAAAAGATGATGGAACAAAATATCTTTTAAAAATTTGCCATAATAGACCATGGAAGGAAAAGGAAATGAAATACTTGGATGAAAGCACCGAGTCTTCACTGCCTACACAAGCTGGCTCATTCAAAAACAATGGAGAAGAAGTTCTGGTAAATCTTCAGGCTACTTGAGCCTGTAGGCTGGCCAACAGCGTGGACACAGTGGGGTCTGCCAATTATAGGCTTGAATGTGGACATCTCTCTTACATTTCTATGTGTTTTACTTCCTTCGAAAGTAGCCTTAGTTATAATAATCTGGAGGATACAATAATGATGTATCAGTAAATGGAGGTTCCTCCTTATGAGGTATGTTAGAATATGGAAGATGTAAAATAGTCAACTTTCACTCTTTTTGACTTCATATTTTACTGCATGTTTTTTTCATTTTTTAATCAGTAAAGAATAAGTTGTTCTTAAAAAATAAAATAGACCTAGTAATCCAGACTAATTTCAGCAAGGGCTTGAAGAAGATGCAAATGAAAATGTGCCTATACACATGACAGCTCATTACAAGCTTACAGCAGGATACCATGAGGTCCCAAAATTATCCCTCTATACTATGAAAATTTGTTAGCCTCAGTGAATGTTTGGGTAACTATTTTTCACTATATGTTTTTATTTTGTGAATGTAGAAACTTCCGGCAAGTTTTTCATAACTAAAATAGTTTCAGTCATGGGAAACCAAAGTAGTTTTAGTCATGACATCTTTGAGTATCAGAAACTATGTGCTGTACTTTTAACAACTGGTTATAATTTTTGTTTCTCTTAAGAAATGACTAATGTTTCACTCCAGTCGAGTTCAAAAAGGTCTGACACTGAGGCTAAAGCGCCTGTGTGCTTTCTTTATTGTTTCTCTGCCATCAGCTGCAGTTGGCTATCATCTTATTGATTCTGGACTTCAAATTTTGGCAGAGTCATCTCAAAATTTCAGCTAGCCACAGTGGATCTATCTTTATCAACCCTGTTAATGATGCAAAATTTCAAAAGTAATAATTAATATTTACATTGGATTTCATAGACTGGTCAGCCAATGTTATCTGAATTCTATTTCATTAAATGGCTTTGTTCACTCATGCAGTTACAAGTTTGTCTTGTCTTTGTGTATGTTAATATTAGGATTTCTTTAAGTTCTACATTCCTTTAGAACAGTATCTTTCTTCTCTACTAAATATTATATATCATTAAGCTAACATATTCTCACCAAAGCTGATCACAAAGGTCAAATCTTTAAGCTACTAACTAGTTCATGGCTATATTTTTAAATCACAGAAATATAGAACAATTCCATTTCAAGCTGAAGTTTGCAGACATTTCTGTTGTGCAAACAAAAGAATTACATAAAACATAGGTTTTAGCTATCTTTGCTAGGTATTTGGACTCAATAATTCTATTACTTGGGCTTGCAGTCTCCCCATAAGTGACCATAAAACTCAATTTACTCTGTTTTTTAAATACAAGATAAAAAATGAATGAGATTTTTATAAATAAGAAATTTTATCTCTTACATATTTTCCTTTATCAGACACAAGGATGTTTAATGGCTATCTATATGCTTCAAAGAGTGAGAACAGATGGCACAGATTTTGATATTTAGGGAACTTAATACACAGAAAATTAAAAAATGTTTATTCTAGAAAACTTTCCTTCTTTCTTAAAACTAGGTTAGATACTCCCATAGGCTTTTACTGTTCCTTTATCACAGCATATCATACTCTGTATTCTTAGCTTTAATAAGTTAGTAGAATTTGATCACCTAGTGTTAGGACTAATTTCAGAGTTAGCATAACTTCTGTACTCCAGTTCCTCAATTTCTACCTTTTAGCAGAACCCCTGGCATATAGCAGATGCTTATTTAACACTTATTAAATAAACATACACAGTATGCAATGGCCGAAAGTGGTCTTGATTATCTTCTTAGAACACTTGATTTTAATCACCAATTCTATCACATTTGAGGCTTGATATAGAAAGTGAAAAGAGAATAGAATAAGAAGGGAAGGAATTACTTCCTTGTTGTTACACACAAGAATAGGTGAAACAATATTGCTGTGGCAAAGTACACTATCTTGTTTTGGAATATTCTTTTCTGTTATTTTATCTTTCAAGTACTGCCTCTAGTGCTATTTGCAAAACTCTTACTGTAATGTCTGGCTCACTGAGAACAGTAGAAAACAAAACAACAGTGGAGATTACATTATGATTATTTCCATTTAACCCCTGCCCATGGCAAAGTCCTTTTGGATTTCTTGAGATTGAGTTAGATAAAAGAGCAAAGGGAACAGAAATGACCTGAAGCTCCCTCCCAGTCCTTCTTAACTCCTGGAAATCTATCGTGATGTTTTTTCATGGCAATCCAGCCCAGTGCCAGAGGGTCATTCCATGGAAGGGTTACTGATCAGTGTTACTGATCAGTGGAATTTCACAGAGAAGTGCCCATTCCCTTGAATGAAGTGCAATCTCCCCCATTTCTGTCAATACCCCCCCCCCAGTCAAACAAAACACCTGACTGCTGCTGAGACTATCAGGTGGCTTTTTCTCATATTCCTTATCCAGAAAATAAGTTAAATTTTTTCTGAACTTTAAATTCCTTACCTAATTGAACTACAAAGTGAGTGTTAAAAGGAGGGAGTCTGTGGAATCAAACTGAAACAAGGAAGAATGGCAAAGGAATAGAGAAAGAAAAAGCAGTGAGGTCAAAATGATATCAAATGGCTGGTTTTCCATGCATGCAACCCCAGGACCACAGACACCTGGTGGCAGAAGAATTACTAATGGAGGCGAACATCTCTGTTCAGCACTCTGTCTTCTCCTTATTCTAGTTTTTCTCTTTGAACTGTTTCAATTGATGAGGAGGCTGAATTTATTCAGATAGTCAATAATTGAGTGAACATATCTGTCTAGGAAGTTGTTGATATGCTATTCATGGAACAAAGATTTATTCCTTCTTCAATGTTCTCATGGCAGTTTGCTGAAAAATAGAAAAAGCCTACCAGTTCTAGACAAAACCATGGGCTTCCCATTCCCTTCCTAGTTAAACCGTGCAGAGGCAGGTACCAGGTGCCAGGACTAATTTGAGATTTTGTTTCCTCATATCCATGGCCTTCCCGAAGCTCTCAGGGATGGGCTGAGGCATCACTTGCACTACACTCTCACTGGCGTCTGCCACTGGAGTCAGACTGCACTCCTGCACAGATGCTGCAGGACACATGATGGTGATGACTAGAATTTCCAGGGGCTCAACTCTGTTGATCACAGAGCTGTGGTTGCAGAGGGGCACAAATATCTAGAGGTATCACAGGTATTGCTGGGCACAGGTGGGGGTACTGAGAGTCACTTCAGGTTAGATAAGGAAGCATACAAGGTTGAGTATTATTTTTGCACTTGTTGTAGATGTTGATGCATAAAACACAGTCAATTAAAACTTTTACATAAATCATAACCATATAATTGAAAAAGTATAAATATATTGATATATTGAATATATTGAAGTATAAGTATATTAGTTAATAATATTGAATATATTAAAGTATAATATATTGATATATTAAAAAGCATATTGATAGAATTATAATGACATAATTATGATCATGTAAGAAGTCAGCATATATATATATTATATATACATTTGTTTGTGTGTATATAGAATTTATGTTGAAAAGATATTTTTGTTAGTTGGAGGTGGACATCTGTAATCCCAGAACACTGAGAAGCTGAAGCAGGAGGATGGACAACTAAGGAAAATAACAAGAACTTGTCTTAAAATAAAAAATAAAAACGGCTAAGGATGTGACTCTGGGAGAATATCCCTGGTTGGATCTCCATTACCAAAAGAAAAAGAAAAAGAGATTAGATTGTAGTGTTTGTGTAATGTGTGCTTTGTTTTATTTTAATATATACCACTGCTCACATATCACTGGTAGAGAGTATCACTGTGAGACTATAAAGCGGAAGGAAGAAATAAGTTTAAGTATCTTATTGCTTAAGGTAAACTATAGCAATTTACCAATTGGCAAATACAAATCTCGAGAAATGGCTTCTAGCTTTAACTAAGGGATAAACTTAAATGTATGAAATCTATCATAGGCTTACTTAAAAGAGAAAAGTTTTATTATTGAGCTACATTCCCTAAGCTCAGGACTAGAAAAAAGCTTAATTATTTGTATTCAATGCTGATAAAATTAAATGTAATGAAATGGTAACTGTTCTTTAATGGAAATTATAAATATAATCAAACTTCATATTTAACAAAAGGCAGAGATGTTAGTTAAGAAAATGATATTGGTGCTCCAGTTTTCTTATCCTTTCTCACCCTCTCTTTAATTAAATTTAGTCTTTTAACACAGGGATTTGCACATGTGTCTCCATTTCATGTACTCACTAGATTGTATCTTTACAGATTATTTAAGAGTTTTTTGATTGCTAAAGCAGCCTGGCAGTTTAAAAAGAAAGTCACGTCTGGCTTCCAACAGGATTTCAGCTTCAGAAGTCTCGGTAAGGTTTTTATAAATGCCAGCCCTCAAAAAAGTCAATCTTTTCTTTTTTCACCTAACTAGATCAAGACAAGCCAGGATTGTAGAAGTTTGGCAGGGAGGAAGGAAAAAGCTCAAATTACATTCAAAAGCATTAAGGTTCACTTTTACCAACATCAGCCAGGAGTGTGCTTGGACAAGAAAACATAATCTAAGAAAAATTCAGAGCGATGGCCTGAAGCCTCAGCTCATTGTCAGTGGGTGGAGTGGGTATTATGTCACAATGTGGAAACATACCACCAAATAAAAACTCGGGGCTGGTGAATATATGAAAGAAAGGTGAATAATTTTACACTGTATGGAGAACAAATTAATTTCAAAATGATCTGATTCTTCAATCATTTGTTTAAAAGATATTTTATGACACCCAAAGGAGTTTAAAATTGATGCATTAATTTTAGAAAATGAAATGAGCAACATTGGTCCTAAAGGGTAGAAAGAAGATGTTGGTAGTACTTGAAAAAAAAAGTATAACTTCTTTTTATTACTTTTTGGTTTCCCTCTTCCCTTCAGTATATTCAAGAATTCTGAACTGTTAATCTAGAAAATTCTCCACATAGAAAAAATATTGAATTTCAAGCTTCCTCTACATTTGGTCACGAAGCCTGAGAGCAGTGATACTGCCAAGCTGACAATGGCTCTCACCGTCGCCTGGATCAATGATCTCCACTGTGGTCACGGCGGGGAACTCCAGGGCGGCCAGCACGGGCTCCGAGAGAACCACCTGGAAGGCCTCGGAGTGCTCGTGCTCCCCGTCACTCAGGATCCGCACTCTCCACGTGGCCCTGGTCTGGCCCGGGTTGAACTGCACTTGCCTCTGTGCTTTGCCCTTGAAGTCTTTGTCTTTTTTTGCTGTCCCGTCTCGTGTGCCAATACCTTCGAGGAAACATAACAGCAGTGTCTTAGCTTGTTTTCAGTTGGATTATTGAGGCTTTCCTTGTGAACATTTCATGTGCCACCCCATTTTGCAGAACAAAGTAGACCCCGCTGTGACTCTGGGACACGGGTAGTTTCCTACGCATTTGATGATGAAAGTGTTGTATTGGAGGCAACGAGATCATGATTCTGTTCTCCTCTTTCCTTAATTATGATGCAGCTACATATTCTTTGAGCTAAGTTTGTGTTATAACTTCATAGAAAACAAGGCTCAGTAAATTTATATTTATGTTGTTTAATATCATTATTTCTACAACTTCATAAATCTTAAAATTCTGCAGTGGATGCTTCTATGTGCTGCTGCATATTATAAAAACATAAGAAATATTCTCTGAGAAAATGTAATCTAATAAGACACTCTCTGAGTCAAAGAATTTTTTGATAATCTAATTCATAAATGCCCAAGAATAATAAAAAATTATAAAATTCCATAGGCATTTAATTAAATTTGAACCCTTAAGAGAATATAATTCACTGTTTGTCAACATGGTTAGGATTTTCTTTGTAGAGTGCCCAGAATTCCACGCAACCATGTGAACAGAATTGGAACACTAAGTGTCTAAGGTCATTATGAACAGCATGCTTGGCTTATTCAGATGGTTCACCCAGGGCCAACTGCAGTGTGCTGGGAAGGCTGAAGAATCACTCAGCCTCTAACTTAATCACAAGAGAACCATCGTCATTTCTGTGTCAGAAACTCAAACCATAGTGTATATTATTCAAAAAGCAGTGAACAAATTCAATGTCGTAGACAACTTTTATATAATCACAATAGTACTTGCATAGCCTTAAAAATGAAATCAGAATCTCTTAGAATCAAATTAATGATTTTCAAATACATTTTTCTAAATGTTGATATTTCCAGAGAAGTTGGTAGATATTCAAAAAGGGAAAAACACTCTTGTGACTATTAGATTTTTAAAGTCTGAAAATTACTTATTTGTAACATTTCTCATTTAATTGAAGAAATTATTATACTTCTGAAATTTTTTTTCAATGTGTGATGAAACTAGACCAAATATTATCCATTCAACCACAAATACTCATTGAGTACTTACTATATTCCATCCTATGTGCTGAGTTTATGTCAGAAAACAGACAAAAACTTTTGCCCTCATGCTGTTTATATGAAATTAATTAGAATATTTATTTTTTCATCTGAATACACTATATCACTGGCTATTAGTTTAATCTTAAAATGAGTGTTAAGAAAAGACTTTGTTAAAAATTTTTGCCTTAGAGCTGTCAGATAAGACCTGACAGGTAAATATTGCATTGTATGCTTCTTTTTCGGTAGCAGGTAAACTATGATTTATTTAATGGCAAGAGGGAAGAAGAGTGTAAAAGTGGAATTCTAGCCAGCCAATCTTGTTGACTGCTGCAGACTTCTGGTCAGCTCTCTGGTTCATAATGCACACAGAGTGTTTGTCAACACCTCTTGGAGCCATCACAATTCACCACCAAGGTGAGGATGAAAGGAGCCATTCTCTGTGAGGTTCCAGAACACATGCTGCTCACTGACCCATATTTCCCCAGTGGAAAATGACCAGCAAACATCTATGAGTCTGCCTCTGATAGCGACTGCTTCATTTTCTGCTTTTTTTTTTTTTTCCACCAGCAGTATGTTCTTTTCCTGAAGATTCAAAAGGCAAGTTAAAACCGCAAAAGGAACTTGTATAATATAGAGAATAGTTACTAGTTTCAACTAGACATATTTACTGCATGATGATGAAGATATTCAGCCTGATAAAAATAAGCTGCAATACCAAATCCCAATTGTTGCTTTTTAAAACCCCTATAATTTTTTACTTTGGTTATTAAGTAAAACTGCAATTGCATATTTCTCTTACATGGAAAACTAATGTGGAAGTTGAGCAAAGTACTTTAAGAATGAAAGAATAGATTTTATGTCCCTTCTCAGTCACAAAGCAATATTACTGATTTCTCACAGTTTAAAAAATGCTATAATGCAGTGATTAAGGGCCTGGGCCGGGCCTTGGAGCCAAATCTCAGCTCTGCCTCCTGCTAACTGTGTAAACTTGGGCATATTAGAACCTATTTTTCACCTATAAAATAGAGGATATAATGGTACTCTTCTTGAGAGGTTAACTTATGTAGTGTGTTGGAACCAGGTCTGGCACATGATAGGAACTCAATAAACAATAGCTGTCATTGTCACTCCAAAATCCATTTCTGAACCCAGCACCTGGGACACAATGAGCACTCAAGAAAAGTGAGTAAATGGCTGTTGTAAGGAATAAAAGAGATAAGTAAAGTGTTTAATGTGCATAATGAAGCATCTTGCCTTCAGTAAATGTTTAATAACTAGTAGCAATAAAATCTTTGAGATTCAAAGAACATTGTGACATACAAACACATATTTAGTGTATTAGTGGATTGTAATGGTTATAAAATAAATAGTCATCTTTGAGAAAACACATCTACAAATTGTATATAATTCACGATGTACTAAATGTACACCAATGATGTTCTGTCTTTGGCTGTAGGTGACATTTTGTCTTTAGCTATAACACAGGCTGGCTCATTCTGAAAATCCTTAGGTGAAAGTGGAGGTTGTCTAGAAAGGGTTACAATGAAACATTCCCATTATAGAGCATCGATAAGGCTGTCTTCCAATTTAATCTGATTTCTATTCCGGGTCCTAATGTGAATTCTGTAACCATTTTTAGTGATGGCAGATGTGGGTCATCCACCCTACAGTTTACTAGTAATCACGTGAGGTTAACCAAGTAAAGCTATAGAGCTTATGTACAGCTGGTGGTATTTCCACATTTGGAGGAAATAATAATTTGTTGAAAACATAACTTTGTAAAAAGAGCTCTTGTTTGATACTTTAGTATTCAGCTTAATGAAACAAAACAAACAACAAAAATTTACGAATAAGTTGGATAGAAAATCTGAAAAGATAGTTTTAAAATGTTTTGCAGCTACTAGCTTTCCACAAACTGTCCACAGGCTACTTATAAATAATTAAATAAACTCACGACAAGTGAGAATAAAATGCAAATAGATGAAAATATGACAAACCTTTCACTGACAGTAAGATATTATCTGGAGAGCTTGCGTGTACAGAGAAAGTGTCCCCAAAGGACAAATAAATACAGGCATGCTCTGGTTAAACACAAAGAGTGTAGGAGACAGTCATGCCTTAAATACATGTGAATAAAGAAGGTAGGGGCTGGGGATTTAGCTCAGTGGTTCTGCCTGCCTCGCAAGCACAAGGTCCCGAGTTCAATCCCCGGTACCAAAGAAGGTAGAAGCTGAGCCTCTCTGGTGGTGAGTCTGCAGGTAGACCAACCTCCCTAGAACCAGAATAACCTTAAGAAATCTGCAGTGAAAACATCTTTTCTAAAGTTAAAAAAATTAAATGTTTCTAAAGTAAGGAGCAATTAGTACTGAGAATACAAACATGTCAGGAGAAATTGGAATAAGAGCAAGGAATTATGGCTAAGGAAAAGGATAGTGGAGTGTGGGGGTGAGGGGAATAGAGTCTTTTCATTGATGGGGAAGCTACTGGTTAGAGATTCAAGGACCAATAAAATATGAAATTAATCATTTTGGAGACAGAATTACTAACCTTCCTTCTTTCCAACATTTCCCTAGATTCCTATCTTAGCTGATAATCTCACTGAATGAATCATTTTACCTCTATAAATTTTAACAGTTTAAATGTCTATAAAACATATGATATCAAAAATAATACAATCTCTTGGGGTGTGGCTATTTTTCATCAACATGTCAAATACTTTGCGCTGTCTGTATCACTGCTTCAAAATGTCAACATACTTTTCTCTATGATTATGTGAAATCAATATGAAGTTAGAGTTGATAAAGTTTTATTCAAAAGAAATAAAGCAGGTGATCAGTATTTAACAGTTTAATGTTGGTTACAAAGAAAAGTCACAACATAAATCTTTTAAGTCAGGCATTGATGTTCATGGAACTTTTAGTGACTTACTTGAGTATTCAAGTACAACAAATAGTGCAATATATTTGAATACCTAATAAATTACGGAATAGTTTTTATTTATTTATGAAAGTAGCCCTTACATGTTTTACAATGATGCTTCAGCAGACTTCTATTTTATGGATAAATTATAGACTTGCCTAACCCTATTATTTTTAACTCCTGAGTGTTTACTTCTAATTTTGCAGGGTTATTTTATATCAGAGAAAATCACACTTAGGTTGAAAACTTGAAAAGTTTCATATTTTGACACCGATCTGCTATATTTTTTTAGCAGTTAAAGAATCTTTAAATGTCAACAGCTCCCTAAGCATTTAAACTAGATCAGTGAACTAAATTAGTATTTTAAACACTTTAGAAAAACTGTAAGTCTTTGGTAGAAAAAAATGGGATTTGCGACAAAAATGAAAAATTAAACTTACTTATAAATGAAGTTTCTCCCAAGTAACCTCTACGTTTAAGAACGACATCTAGAAATTTGGAGTCTTCATTGATCAGGTAATATTCCTTTTCAAAGGAGATCCATGCCCAATTCAGACGAAAATGCTGGTTGGTTAACTTGTTGCCACCTGGGAAATAAAAATTTAAAGTACTACATTAATGCTTTCTTGAATGAATGACCTTAAAAATTCCATATTTTATTTAAGTTTAGTTTATAGTTCATGCTAGGGATCTCTATCACTGAGCTGCATCTCCACCTCCCCCACCCACCCGAGTATTTTAAAATTGCAACTTTAAGAATATCGAATTTGATATCGAATTCTGGAAGATATACCCGGAGATGTAGCTAAGTGACCACTGTTTGTTACACAGTCATACAACAGCTGACCCAATCCTCCACAACTTCTTTGCTCTCTCTTAGGAGGGGAAGTTGACAGAGGGAACCGCACACTACCAGTGGTGATTTAGTTGCCATGAAATTGAATCGCCAAGTTGCAGGATGACCACAAGGTGCCGCTGGAAAGCAATCTTGTCTGTAGAGCCAGCGGCTAAAAAAGTTCTTTTGTGATGGTTTTAAAAACACATACAGCTTCACAAATACCTTTTTCTGGTTCACAGAGCAATTGGGTGGAAGGCTTTAATTATAACCACTTAGGGAAAAACAAATATCTCTTCTCCGCCTCTCTTCCCCACTAGATTCCACTTCATTCCTCACAGCAAACGGACAGCTCTTTTCACAGATTTCCATTTTCCTTTAAAGATAAGGCTCCCTCCTCCCACCAAGCCACTAGAAGGGAGCTGACTGCCTATCCCAAGAAAACAAATCTCCCGTGTGATCTTCCTAATGTCGAAGCTACTCTACTGGATATAGGAAAGGAGAAGTGATTACCCGCTGATCACTCTGCATCTATCCCTTAGTGTCTTTTGATCTACACCAATTACTTCAGAAGAAGGTGAGGCGTATAAACAAAGGCTTGAGTAATTCCTTTTAAATCTTTCTGGAAAAGGGTAAAGAAAATACCCAAATAATAAACATAGCTAGAGGCGAAGCTTTAATTCTAGTTTCTTCTCTTCTGAATTCACATAAAGGGAGCTACCCAAGAGAAAAAGAATCCTGATGAGGAAATGTCAAGACTTTCATAAACTGAGGAGTAACAAACTATGCTAGGGAAATGAGTGAACAAATACATGAAAACCCATTGTTTTCTCTAGAATATTTCGAAACTAAAAGCTATATGATTTTGAATTAACGCTAAAGATTAAAGAAAATACCTACACAGATGGCATTACAGAGGAAAACTGGTTTTCTTGTTTATTGTTGTTTGACTTATAAATTAGCATAATCCTTTTAAACAGCTGCTGGGCAAAGAATGCATGAAGCAAAAAGATGTTCATATCACTTGACCTCATCAGCACTTCCAGGGCAAAAACAAAAATATAAGGAAACATTCATTACAATATTTCTATAATAGCCCTAAACCTGAAAAACTTAGTGTTTACTATACTGTGGTATATCAAAACAATAACAGGCTATTTAACCACCAAACAATAAATATAAAATTCTTATCAAAACACTTACAGAGATGATACTGATGCTGTGAATGTAGCTACCTAAAATGTGGCCTTAAACGTGAAATTGTTAGGGTTTTTTAGTGAATGGAAGTAGGGACACTTTAATTTTTATTTTTCTAAGATATAAGTAGACTGGAGGCCAGGAATTTTGTGTCAGTTTAAGGAAACTCATTCCATATTTTCTCCTTATGAACTTAACGCATATCACCTCTGGGACTATGCACACTCCCAGTCTGAAGGGGAGAGGACAAAACTGGATGGCTCCTTGGACCTGGAGTCCAAGATTCATCTTCTTTCTTATTTGCCATAAGTGCTGGGCTACTTACTTTTCTGGACCTTGGTTTCCTCTTTGTAGCATCAAGTGACAATGTTAGTAGTTGCTACCTGTGAGTGCTTTGAGGATCAAGTGAGATAACCCATAAATGTGACATCATGGACCTTGTAGCACCATGTATCCACTGGTGACATCTTTCAACACAGGTCAGCCTGCTGTACTCTGCCATGCAGGCATGCTCAATCCACCCTGCACATTCATCACCGGAATAGTCATCTGCCTTAAACCTACTAGTGTTCCTTTCTCCTTTGCTCCATTTGTCTACAGCTGTTGTACACATCAAGTCAATCCTTATTTGTGGATTTTTAGGTTCACCCTGTCCTGCCTAGATTACTTCTGTTACCCCTTCATCTGCTTAATCAGGTCAAGCCCACATTCTTAAAGCTGGGGGGATCTGCCACCCTTACTCTTCCTGACTCCATGTCCTCTTGTCTAAAATATTCTTTGGCTAATGTGTTTCACTCCTCAGAGGTCACCTTCACCTCCTTCCTGACATCTCGTCACCCTGCAGCCACCTCACCTCCATTATTCCACAGTGTTCACCTCCTGATTACGCTGTATAATCAGGCATTTTAGCAGATATCTCTCATGCAGTTTGTACTAATTTACTCATTTTACTAACTTACATCAGAAATTGAGTGTCCATTCTTTTACTACTGTAAGCATTTCATCAATTTAAGACATAAAACAAGTTGTATTTCTAAGTGACTTTTTACATGAAAACAACTTTATGTCCTACTTCTACATGGAGAGTATGGTTCTAGCAAGCCCAGGTTTTATTCCAAACTTCTTGTCGCACTACCACAAGCTATTCCTGGCCATCCTAACATCCACAATGTCACCCATCAATTCTTTTTAAAAGCTATTTTAACTATATGTATTTATGGCATACAGTATAATTACGTACACAAATGTGTTATGATCAGTCACAGTAGTAAGAATTTCTATCTCCTTAAATATCTGCTGAAAAAATTTTAATTTTAGAGGCTGAGAATAGGGATACAATAGACATAATGGGAAGATGGACAATGGCTATCAAAATATTGGGATAGAAGATATAAATTCTGGTATTCTACAGCATCCTAGGGATTACTGTTCACAATAATCTATGCTGTAGTTTGGATCTTGAGTGTTCCCTAAAGGTCCCTGTGTTAAAGACTTGGTCTCCAGCTTGGTGTAACTGAGAAGTGATCCAACCTTTAAGAGTGGGAGGAAATTAGGTCATTGAGATTGGTCCTCAAGAGGAACCCTGGCCACTCCTATTCCTTTCTCTTTGATTCCAAGCTGCCATAAGATGAGCATGTTGCTTCACAAAATATTGCCCATTATAATATGCTGCCTCACCACAGACACAAAGCAGAAGGACCAATTGATCATGGACTAGAACCTCTGAAACAGTGAGCCAAAAAAATCCTTTCCTTATTTTAAGTTGATTATCTCAGGTATTTTGTCATAATAATGCAAAGATGACCACCAACATATCCTACTGCAGTGATGGTGAACCTTTTAGAACTTGCAGTGATAAAAAACAGCCTGCTGTGGTACATGTGCCACAGGTTTGCCACCACTGGTCTATTGTATATTTTATGAATTACTAGAAGAGAAGACCTTAAAGGCTCTAACACAATGAAATTATAAAGAAAAATGATAATTATCCTGATTTGACCAGCACACATTGTAAACATACACCAAAGTGTTACACTGTCCCATCACTTCTTTTTGAAGAGAAACACTGAGCCACACACAACTTCTCACTGTTTTCTGCATTAAAATGGGTGCGTCTGCAAGTGCTATGTCATCTGCTCAGAATACCCTTGGATTTTCTACTCCTTCTAGCAATCTCTACTCTAAATTGTGACTATTAAGATTTGATTTTAACTCTTTTCTGAAATATTCCAGGAAAGATTATTCTCTGCCAAAGGTTACATATTGAAGAATACTGAATTACTGAGGGGTGTCTCCATCCTTTATAAAGCAGCAAGTTTCAATGCAGACCCAGCACTCTCTCTTATTCTGATTAATTTTTCTCTACCTTGCTCTCCACAAGTTCATATCCCATATATAGTTACTCTTTTGTTTGATCATTTTGTTTCTTCCCACAAGATCCAGGAGGGAGGGAGTTCATTCTGCTTATTGGTAGAAAATGAATATTGAATGAATTAGAAACTACTGTTTTGGTTGAAAGAAGTTGAGTAGTGCTTCATTAATTGAGCAGTCTACATTTCTATATAAACGTTACCTATCTTTTTATGAAAAAAATAATTGTTTTTGTGATATTCTTCTAAAATGTCACATACTTAAAGTTATTATGAATGTGAATTATTGGAGTTTGTGTTTATCTAAATGACATTTCCAGGGATTTTTGATAATTAATGGGCTCCTACTCCACTATAAAGAGGCATGAATTGTCTCAAGGATACCTAATTTCAGCTACACTTAAAAATTTGTAATTTTCAGGTTGGTGCCTATGTTCTGGAAGGATGAGTGTCCCAAGAAAAAAGGGGCCAAGTTACTGGTTAATCCAAGGTTTTGATATATGTATAGCTGAACAAGTTTGTCAGTATTTCACATATCTACCTTCTAAGATTTGAAATAAAATTCAGAAACATTATAGAGAAACTCTGCTTTATATCACAGTGAAATGGCCTAGGGTAGTCATTATAGTAACTTACAATTCACTCTAAACCTGGGATTTTTAAAGTAGCTAGTTATTTAAATAGAGAATATGCAGTCTATCAAGCTTAACTCTGACTACAGTTAAATATTATGTAACCCTTTTGAATCATATACATATGAATTGTATTTAGTTTTTGAATTTGTAAAATCTCAGTACACACTTATACAGGAATGATACAAGGATTTGAGTAACTGAGCTATAGATTATTTAACTTCCTTTTTTAAAACTGTGATCTTGTACAATTGAACTCTGTATTTTTTCTAAAGAAGGAAAGCCACCTTACCTATTTATTACATGCCATGTAAACTCTTCTAAAACCTCAATAAATGAGAAATAATGAATGTTAACACTTTAACAGAAGCTACCGCTTACCAAATGTTAAATTTTAGATGCAATTAAATAACTTAAAATCTGACAAATTTTACTTATGTATGATTCATTGCCTTTCTAAAATAGATTGTCATCTATGATGCTGAAAAGTGAATGACAACATCTCATTGGAAACAAATTAAAGTCCACAGCTTGTGTCATAAATCCACACAACAGGTGCCTGCAATGATGACTACACTCCCTAAAGCTCTGTCCCCAAACCCTGACACTAAAGTTATTAACATTTTCATGAAAAGACTCCTTTTGAACTTTTACAGCTGGACTTCAGGCTTCTTTATTTTCTTTTGCAATTCAAACTCAGTAGTTATTTTAGAATAACAAAGAACCGCAATCTTCAATTAGCCCTCCCTAAAACCACAGGGTTCCCTAAAAACAAAGCATAGTACTGTTGTTCATTCATAAGAAACTAGTGTCACAACTCTGACTTGTGCTAGTTAAAGGTGGGTAGTCCTTTAGCTTTAACAAATTTCTTCTTGAACAAAACTTGGTTACAAATAGATTGGTAAAATTTCATTTTTCCAGAATAAAGTTCAGTTTCTTGTTTCAAGATGAACTTGAAACAAAATAGACAGCAACTTTAAAAAGAAACTAGATATATTCTTTTAAATCAGCAATATAAATAGACATAATATTAGAAAAGATGAAGATAAAATGGACTAATTTATTGGGGAAATTAGATTGTTCTTTTAGGGGGAAAAGTCAATGATTAGTATCTATGCAATCTCTATCGGGATTGCAGGAGTTAGTAATTCCGGTGAGAATCTGAAAGTGCAAAGAAGGCTTTATTTCATTGCTGTTTCTGTGACAGGGTGATCTTCTCTTTGCATTACCTTTGGAATCTCCCATAAGAGAATCTCTGCAAGGGCGTAGAATCCTGTCCTTTGGCCCTTAAAATCAGGTTGACTTTACTGTTTACTAAAAACCACCTGGTGCAAAGCTGAAGCCAACTTGGCTCTTGCTGGGGCCCCAGGAGTTGGCAT